AAAAAATACATTACCCATTTAAATCTTCTAAATAGCATCTTTTATCGGGAATTGGAGCTGTCGGAAGGGTTGGTACCTGCTAGGCAATTGCAGAAAAATTTGTTCTTTTCTTATCCATCCGAAAAGTGTATTTTCCTCTCTCTCTCTCTCTCATACAAAGTACTGTTGTTCTTGTTTTAGAAGAAAAATATTCTGTTACTTGAAATCATCTTCCATTGAAGGGTAAAAAACGCACGATCGAATGAAATAAAAAAGAGAATTACAACTGCAATTTTTCTCTAGAGATCTTCGGACCCCCCACAACTGCAATTGTTCTCTAGTTATCAAATTGCTCTTCTACAATCATGTCTGCCACAGAAATGAGAATTAATGAATAAAAATCCAAGCATAATTCTCATTAAATCTGATACCCTAAATTACACTGCAGAGATAAAATAAAACTTATCCCATCCTTATCAAACCTCTGCTACAAATTCCCAAGTAAAATTAAAACACAAATCCTCATTAAAATGGGAATCAGAATCCTAACTCTGTTCTAACATTCTCAGTCTTAAGAAGAAGATCCACCAATATTCACAGAAGAATCCATAGCCCTAACCGTTGTGCACAAGTGCCTAATCAAAGAAGCTGTTTTCCTGCGAAACTCCAACCTATGGCCGTCCCGATTCGCAGACCAGTAAAATCCCCCCCCCCCCCAAAAAAAAAAAACTATATTTAAAAACACAAAAAATAAAGATTAGAATACATTAACGGTTAAAAACCCACGCACGGCCAAAAAAAAAATCACGAAGTCTTTTAACTATTATCCCACTCCCACCGGACAAGACAGCCATCCATGATGTCATATGACATGTATTAGAACAAGTTCCACCGTCCGTGTCCTTTAAGAACTACGGTCGTCAAAGAAAAAATCCTCTTTATAAATACATGCCCCTGTCTGCCCGAGCTTCAAAGCAAGCACTTTAGGTTCTTTCTTTCTTTCTGCCAATCAATTTCTTTTGAGGTATCTAAGGCTGGTAGACAGGTTAAGATTAGATTGGATTGATGGGTTTTCATCAAACCTCTTCAATTTCTTTCTCAGCTACAAAATGGCTAGGCTTTGTGACTGCCGTTTGGGTCCAAGCTATTTCAGGCAACAACTACACCTTCTCAAACTATTCTGATGCACTTAAATCTCTAATGAACTTGACCCAACTTGAACTCAACAATTTATCTGTTGCTAAAGATGTTGGCAAGGCCTTCGGTTTGCTTGCTGGTCTTGCTTCTGATCGTTTGCCTACTCCTGTTATTCTTCTTATTGGTTCAATTGAAGGTCTTATTGGTTATGGTACTCAATGGCTTGTCGTTAGTGGGAGAATTCAACCTCTCCCTTATTGGCAGGTAAATCTTACCAATTTTATAGTCTCAGTAACCATGTTTGTTGTTAAGATTTAACTGTAGCTCAGGATTCTGCCGGGATTTGGTGCATAATTAGTTTTCGATGATGTTATGATCTTACCGAATAATTATTTTTCTAATGTGGAATGCAGATGTGCATCTTCCTATGTCTAGGAGGAAACAGCACTACATGGATGAACACGGCGGGTTTAGTAACCTGCCTCCGCAACTTCCGCCGCAACCGTGGCCCTGTCTCTGGAATCTTGAAGGGCTATGTTGGTCTAAGCACTGCTATATTCACCGACCTGTGTGCAGCTCTATTTGCAGATGACCCTGCAAAGTTTCTCATAATGCTTTCCGTCATCCCCTTTGCTGTCTGTCTCACCGCCATCGTTTTCCTCAGAGAAAACCCACCTGCCGCTACTATAGAGGAAGAAAAAGAAGAAAGCAAATACTTCAATATCTTCAACGCTGTTGCTGTTATTGTGGCTGTTTATTTAATGGCTTACGGTTTTATTCCAAATCCTAGCCATGCTATTTCATTGGCGTTCTCGGTTATATTGCTCGTTCTTTTAGCTTCTCCATTAGCAGCTCCAGTTCATGCTTTTATTAAAAGCTGGACTTTGAACCGGTTCAAGAACCAAGCGGATGTTGAAAGGCAAATTCAAGAACCTTTATTGATAGAAAAGAAAACCCAGGAGGAGATTCAAGAAAAAACCGCTGAAGAGTCTGCTTCAGCAGTGGTGGAGCAACCGCACGCTTTAGAGGAGGAGAAGGCAGCTGTGGAGGTAAAGAGGAGGCCGGTGATTGGAGAGGATCATACACTTTTTGAGGCAATGTGGACCGTTGATTTTTGGATTCTGTTCTTGTCTTTCCTTTGTGGGGTTGGCACAGGCTTGGCTGTGATGAACAATATGGGACAGATTGGCTTGGCTCTCGGATATGCTGACGTTTCTCTTTTCATTTCCTTGACAAGTATTTGGGGATTCTTTGGAAGGATTGTTTCTGGCTCGGTGTCTGAGTACTACATCAAGTAAGTTTCTTGATCCCTGGTTTATTTTCTTAGAAGTTGAGTTAATTGGCATTTTCTCTCCATAATTTCTCTATTAGTTGACTTTTATAAGCCCTCTTGCAATTTAGAAATTCGAATCCTTATTTTTGGATGTGTGCTTTACCCTTTTTTTATAAAAAAAAAAAAAAAGCATTAAGCACCACGTTGGTGCCCGCATTTTCCACACCCGGTTGCTTTCCTTTTCCGTTCTGTTTTTCTTTTTCCTTCGAACAATGAGATATCTTTACTTCTTGGAATGGGCTGTGCCTGCTAAAACACGGCTGCTTGTTTCTTTTCTTGGATATATTTTTTATTAATTGATTCAAAAGTCCCCATTTTGAAAGCACGCTGTGAATTAGACTCAAGATTTAGGCTAGTCAATTCTTAGCATCGTTTGCCACCGTTTTTTTTTTTTAAATGATTTTCGTTTAGTTTTAAGTTAAATTGTTGTTGTATTTTTGGATTGTTCGTAAGTTGATTCTAAAAAAATAAAAATAAAAATATATTATTTTAATATATTTTAAACTAAAATACACTTTTAAAAAATTCTTATACAGATCTGCGCAACCCCCACTTGTCTTGAATCTCGTATCGATTGATTCTAGAAGTGAGCCAACTAATTCAGCACTCGAATTTTTAGGTCCCAGAGGTCTAAAAGCACATGCCATTTTAATAAAATATATTCTTGTCTCGCTGATAAAGTACATGGTTAAGTGATTTAGGGGGGGGGGGGGGGGC